TTTAAGTCATCTCTCTTGTCATACAGTGTTCGGGAAAATTTGTTGTCACTCTGAATCTTTATGCGCAGATGTAAAAATGAAACACATGGGGCGGTTTCACTGGTCTCTTTTCTTTCCAGTTCAGGTGGGTAAATCAGGGATTTGGGGCTTATTGATTTATATGCATGAAGAAACAGATCGGCAAGCAGAGCAGCACTTCCAACACGTCCAGCGAACAGTTTTATTTGCTGCGTGTAAAACCTGAGTACTTATTATTTTCCCTAGTACTTTCTGAAACAAAATACTTTTTTTATCAAATATTACCAGGACTTCACTGTAGGCTAATGTAAACTGCAATCTGACTTCTGCGTTGCCTAATGTCAAGTGTACTCGGACTTCTCTGAAGCCTTATGTGAAGTCAACTGACTTGTCTGTAGCCTTATTTTAAGTAAACTGACTTCTCTGAAGCCTTATGTGAAGTCAACTGACTTGTCTGTAGCCTTATTTTAAGTAAACTGACTTCTCTGTAGCCTTATGTGAAGTAAACTGACTTCTCTGTAGCCTTATGTTAAGGCAACTGACTTCTCTTTGGCCTTATGTTAATTAAACTGCCTTCTCTGTAGCCTTATTTTAAATAAACTGCCTTCTCTGTAGCCTTATGTTAAGTAAACTGACTTCTCTGTAGCCTTATGTGAAGTAAACTGACTTCTCTGTAGCCTTATGTTAAGTAAACTGACTTCTCTGTAGCCTAATGTTAATTAAACTGCCTTCTCTGTAGCCTTATTTTAAGTAAACTGCCTTCTCTGTAGCCTTGGGTGAAGTAAACTGCCTTCTCTGTAGCCTTATGTTAAGTAAAATGCCTTCTCTGTAGCCTTATGTAAGTAAATTGTCTTCACTGTAGCTTTATGTTAGTAAACTGACTTCTCTGTAGCCTTGTGTTAAGTACACTCTGACTATTCTGTAGCCTTAGGGGCGGTTGGGTTAAAACGTTAAAACTCGGGTTCAATTCCCCACATACAGTACAGTGTGTGTCCCCTGCCATGATATTGCTGGAATATTGCTAAAACACACCGTAAACCTACACTCACTCACTCACTCACTCACTGTAGCCTTATGTTAAGTAAACTGACTTCTCTGTGGCCTTATGTCAAGTGTAAACTGACTTCTCTGAAGCCTTATGTGAAGTAAACTGACTTCTCTGTAGCCTTATGTCAAGTGTACTCTGACTTCACTGTAGCCTTATGTGAAGTAAACTGACTTCTCTGTGGCCTTATGTCAAGTGTACTCTGACTTCTCTGAAGCCTTATGTGAAGTAAACTGACTTCTCTGTAGCCTTATGTTAAGTAAACTGACTTCTCTGTATCCTTATGTGAAGTGAACTGACTTCTCTGTAGCCGTATGTTAATTAAACTGCCTTCTCTGAAGCCTTATGTTAATTAAACTGTCTTCTCTGTAGCCTTATGTTAAGTAAACTGACTTCTCTGTAGCCGTATGTTAAGTAAACTGACGTCTCTGTAGCCGTATGTTAATTAAACTGACTTCACTGTAGCCTAATGTAAAGTTTACTCTGACTTCACTGTAGCATAATGTACAGTGTACTCTGACGTCACTGTAGCCTGATGTAAAGTGTACTCTGACGTCACTGTAGCATAATGTATAGTGTACTCTGACTTCACTGAAGCCTAATGTAAAGTGTACTCTGACGTCACTGTAGTATAATGTATAGTGTACTCTGACTTCACTGTAGCCTAATGTATAGTGTACTCTGACGTCACTGTAGCATAATGTATAGTGTACTCTGACGTCACTGTAGCATAATGTAAAGTGTACTCTGACTTCACTGTAGCCTAATGTAAAGTGTACTCTGACGTCCATGTAGCATAATGTATAGTGTACTCTGACTTCACTGTAGCCTAATGTAAAGTGTACTCTGACGTCACTGTAGTATAATGTATAGTGTACTCTGACTTCACTGAAGCCTAATGTAAAGTGTACTCTGACGTCACTGTAGTATAATGTATAGTGTACTCTGACTTCACTGTAGCCTGATGTAAAGTGTACTCTGACGTCACTGTAGTATAATGTATAGTGTACTCTGACTTCACTGAAGCCTGATGTAAAGTGTACTCTGACGTCACTGTAGTATAATGTATAGTGTACTCTGACTTCACTGAAGCCTAATGTAAAGTGTACTCTGACGTCACTGTAGTATAATGTATAGTGTACTCTGACTTCACTGTAGCCTAATGTATAGTGTACTCTGACGTCACTGTAGCATAATGTATAGTGTACTCTGACTTCACTGTAGCATAATGTAAAGTGTACTCTGACTTCACTGTAGCCTAATGTAAAGTGTACTCTGACGTCCATGTAGCATAATGTATAGTGTACTCTGACTTCACTGTAGCCTAATGTAAAGTGTACTCTGACGTCACTGTAGTATAATGTATAGTGTACTCTGACTTCACTGAAGCCTAATGTAAAGTGTACTCTGACGTCACTGTAGTATAATGTATAGTGTACTCTGACTTCACTGTAGCCTGATGTAAAGTGTACTCTGACGTCACTGTAGTATAATGTATAGTGTACTCTGACTTCACTGAAGCCTGATGTAAAGTGTACTCTGACGTCACTGTAGTATAATGTATAGTGTACTCTGACTTCACTGAAGCCTAATGTAAAGTGTACTCTGACGTCACTGTAGTATAATGTATAGTGTACTCTGACTTCACTGTAGCCTGATGTAAAGTGTACTCTGACTTCACTGTAGTATAATGTATAGTGTACTCTGACTTCACTGTAGCATAATGTAAAGTGTACTCTGACGTCACTGTAGTATAATGTATAGTGTACTCTGACTTCACTGTAGCCTGATGTAAAGTGTACTCTGACTTCACTGTAGTATAATGTATAGTGTACTCTGACTTCACTGTAGCCTTATGTAAAGTGTACTCTGACGTCACTGTAGTATAATGTATAGTGTACTCTGACTTCACTGTAGCCTTATGTAAAGTGTACTCTGACGTCACTGTAGTATAATGTATAGTGTACTCTGACGTCACTGTAGTATAATGTAAAGTGTACTCTGACTTCCCTACAGCCTTATGTAAAGTGTACTCTGACGTCACTGTAGTATAATGTATAGTGTACTCTGACGTCACTGTAGTATAATGTAAAGTGTACTCTGACTTCACTGAAGCCTTATGTAAAGTGTACTCTGACTTCACTGTAGTATAATGTATAGTGTACTCTGACTTCACTGTAGTATAATGTAAAGTGTACTCTGACTTCCCTACAGCCTTATGTAAAGTGTACTCTGACGTCACTGTAGTATAATGTATAGTGTACTCTGACTTCACTGAAGCCTAATGTAAAGTGTACTCTGACTTCACTGTAGTATAATGTATAGTGTACTCTGACTTCCCTACAGCCTTATGTAAAGTGTACTCTGACGTCACTGTAGTATAATGTAAAGTGTACTCTGACTTCCCTACAGCCTTATGTAAAGTGTACTCTGACGTCACTGTAGTATAATGTATAGTGTACTCTGACGTCACTGTAGTATAATGTAAAGTGTACTCTGACTTCACTGAAGCCTAATGTAAAGTGTACTCTGACGTCACTGTAGTATAATGTATAGTGTACTCTGACTTCACTGTAGTATAATGTAAAGTGTACTCTGACTTCCCTACAGCCTTATGTAAAGTGTACTCTGACGTCACTGTAGTATAATGTATAGTGTACTCTGACTTCACTGAAGCCTAATGTAAAGTGTACTCTGACTTCACTGTAGTATAATGTATAGTGTACTCTGACTTCACTGTAGTATAATGTAAAGTGTACTCTGACTTCCCTACAGCCTTATGTAAAGTGTACTCTGACGTCACTGTAGTATAATGTATAGTGTACTCTGACGTCACTGTAGTATAATGTAAAGTGTACTCTGACTTCACTGAAGCCTAATGTAAAGTGTACTCTGACTTCACTGTAGTATAATGTATAGTGTACTCTGACTTCACTGTAGTATAATGTAAAGTGTACTCTGACTTCCCTACAGCCTTATGTAAAGTGTACTCTGACGTCACTGTAGTATAATGTAAAGTGTACTCTGACTTCACTGAAGCCTAATGTAAAGTGTACTCTGACGTCACTGTAGCATAATGTATAGTGTACTCTGACTTCACTGAAGCCTAATGTATAGTGTACTCTGACTTCACTGTAGTATAATGTATAGTGTACTCTGACGTCACTGAAGCCTGATGTAAAGTGTACTCTGACTTCACTGTAGTATAATGTATAGTGTACTCTGACTTCACTGTAGTATAATGTAAAGTGTACTCTGACTTCCCTACAGCCTTATGTAAAGTGTACTCTGACGTCACTGTAGTATAATGTATAGTGTACTCTGACGTCAATGTAGTATAATGTAAAGTGTACTCTGACGTCACTGTAGCATAATGTAAAGTGTACTCTGACTTCACTGAAGCCTAATGTAAAGTGTACTCTGACGTCACTGTAGTATAATGTATAGTGTACTCTGACGTCACTGTAGTATAATGTAAAGTGTACTCTGACGTCACTGTAGTATAATGTATAGTGTACTCTGACTTCACTGTAGTATAATGTAAAGTGTACTCTGACTTCCCTACAGTCTTATGTAAAGTGTACTCTGACGTCACTGTAGTATAATGTATAGTGTACTCTGACTTCACTGTAGTATAATGTAAAGTGTACTCTGACTTCCCTACAGCCTTATGTAAAGTGTACTCTGACGTCACTGTAGTATAATGTAAAGTGTACTCTGACTTCCCTACAGCCTTATGTAAAGTGTACTCTGACGTCACTGTAGTATAATGTATAGTGTACTCTGACTTCACTGAAGCCTAATGTAAAGTGTACTCTGACGTCACTGAAGTCTGATGCAAGTATACTTTATTGTAGGTTACTGTTTGGAATACGCCGACATCGTACTATCCGAAGATGTATCGTCTGATTAGTAATATTATCACACAACTCATCAATGGAAATATATTGTTTTATTACATGTTTTATAAAAGTAGTATAAGTGTACAGTACATTTTAAATCTATAACGTATCTTCGTTCTTCATGCACACTAAGTGGTACACAGTATATGCATACACAAGACTCCATAAAGCAGTATAACCATACATGGAAGAGCGGACATAAGCATACACAAAGCTCTATTATTTTGTTGTGACCATCTAGCAAGAGTTAGGCGTAAGATGCTACAGGTAATTTATTTGCAAATATCGAAACAGGCGCTAAAATACCTTCATCTATACTATATAAGTCAAATATCCACATGAATGTGCCATTATGCTTCCAAAAATGCATAAATGTATGATTACTAAATGAATCTGTTTTACAATCTTCTTCATTATGAATTCATTAAGGTCTCATTTTTAACGAAATGGCTTCAATTTTAGATAATATCGTTTAATATTAGACAAAAAATTATAACAGTTTTTTCAGTGCACACGTACCTTATTAACCTTTAAAATACAGTTCTAAGTATTTCGTCAATATTTATTTACAAGTATGACACATAATAAATTATAATCTCAAAATATATCTGTGTAATTTTGGATTACAGGAAAGACACGTGGCATTCTATTATACAAAGTCTGCATACTAATCATATGCACAAAGAAAGAGGTCACATGCATGCTCGTTTCTATAGCAACGCAGAGATAAAACTAAATCCTGTGCATTATTTTTTTCCTCGAAGACCGTGTCCATATCAGCCAGACACTTCACCTTGCAATCACATGCTCGGCGAATGCTAAACTTTAACGCGAGGCTTGCTATTAAGGATAACTAATTACCATGAACATCTTTTTTAAAACACTGCTACTATTTAATTTCCTTATGTAAATTTCCCTTTTAAGACCCCAAACCCCTGTGTCTACTAATTAAGAACACTTTCACGTTTACATGTTCAAACGAATTTCCCCGTGGTAATGTTACATGGGGAATACGGCTTTAGCCTCTGTGACAAACAGCTCATAACAACCAGCCCAGTTGTACATGGAATGTGCATAAAAGCGAGTGCGGCTTCTTCGCCATCACAGTGACAATGGAACGCATCTTTAGTTGAACATATATCAAGGTATACTGTAGGCGTATGTCGCAGTGGCTTGGCTTGTTACATGACCGGCGTGTACGTATGACCTGCATTCCTGACGGAGGAGGGAGATGGCGTGCAACTTATGATGCTTGTGATGATGTGTTTAAATTGTACAAATAGGTGAACAAACAGGTAATACGAGTATGCGAGGAGTGCTGCAGACTCTGCTGGCTTTGTAGTCTATTTCAAAATAAATCAAACTCATCCTCACTGAACCGAGAAACTGGTTTCCTTTGAAAGCTTAACTTAATCACCACATTGAGACTTCGCCCACGTAGCAGGAGCTGCCTGTATTTGCACCTGTAAAAACGGAGGACGTTTACATAACACTGTATCTCGGAGGACAAGATGCACACACACACAATGACACACTGAAGATGAGGAGCTACTGATTATTTGCCTCACGTGAATTAATGGCATCTTGACTAAATAAACTTCACTTTGGACAAAAGACGTACTTCTGAGCTACGTTTGGTTCAGATATGTTTGGTATGAATAACAGTATGGACACAACGCGAAGCAAAAGTAACTTAAAATGTATTTAACGGAAATTCTTTTACCTGATTTCCGCATTCCCATGACTACTGATAACCAAATTTAATTATTTCAACAGAAAATAAATCAATTTAAATACATGTCATATTCCTATAAAAACACGATTTTGAATATAAACCGCAATGTGTTTATGTTTCAATATTAACTTGCTTAAATCAGTATTTATCCCATGATATTTATTTATTAGTCGAAAGGATCAACGTGGTCGTGGTGCACGTTTATCCATTCAACCTGGTGCATATCTTGTGACAAGATTCAAGTAATTGGGCAACGCGGTGCAATTAGTCTGACAGGCTGTCTGGAGAGCCAAATATTTTGCGGGCCATTCACGGTGCATAGTTAGGTTTCAAGGACTTCGAGTCGCGCAAACATTTACACACAGTGTGACCTCTAACTTAAAATAAAAACAGGAGGGTCATTGCAGCCCTTTGCAATTTACACTATACAAGCATGATGATACAAAACAAGAAAAGAAGACATGGTATTTGCGTAAATGATATTGACACTTCAAAGTAGCATATCATTATTCATGGCAAGCCATGCATATGTTTTTTCTTTATAACATAGTAGCAAACTAATTGGCAATATTTATCTATACAATATTCAAATTTAGATCTACGGTGATACTTTGTAAGATACAAACAAAACAAGTTCGATTTCGAACTTCTCAAAGAAAACTTGACGTAAGTTGAAATTAGCCTTTGGTTTTGCCAATAATACCATTCGACAATTAAGTGTCCCATGGTTTATTTAGCAATATTTACATATGTACATTCAACGTCCCTGGGATACAAGTTTCTAAATATTGCACTATATACAAACAAGTAACGCCGTCATTGTGTAACAGAAATGAATATTACATCATTGTTGCAATATCACAGTGTATCATAAGCTCTACGCGCTACATTTCAGCGGAAGAAGAATGTCCAATGTCGAGACATTGATAGCACCCGGTACTTTACAAGACACTATTGTCGTATCGTGGATTCCAGGGTGTGACAGGACCAGAGAACCTCATTCTATAGAGGGTACTGAAGGAGGGATGTGGTAAAGGTCATGTCTCAACTTCTATCTGGACGTGTCTGTCATGCTCGAACTATCGATCATTGGTTTGCTTGGCCCAGGGTCAACCGCATATTCCAAACCGTCGTGACATAGTTGCAATATTGTTCTACGGCGTTAAAACCCCATTCATTCACTACATCATAGTTCGTTAATAGTCCTAGCACCATCATCAGTGTCATCTAGTAAAACCACTAAATAAGTCGGTATTCCTCGCCCCTTTCCGTCATTAATCGAAAGTGAGTGTAGGTCACCGACCCTACTATACACAAAGGACTGCAAGGTGTACTTAATGTCCGTTTGCAGTTTCCTCAAAGCACTAATATCGGCGTTTCATCCGCTACGTCGGGATGTGTATATTTACATGGTTTACATGCGTCGTAGGATCGTCAAGGTTGTCATTGAGTTAGTACATACAATAGCATACATGTTGGAAGCCTATCCTCATTCAATTGGTACGAAACACGAATGAGTTCGAAAATTACAAGCATGCACTCAACAGATTCACGTCTTTGTGCCAAACTTGGACCAAATGTACTTCACTTGAAATCATTCCGCCACATCTATTCTGGATCGGGCTAATCTTGGTTGTTCCGAAGCATCTGAGATGTTGGTTCCCCAGTGCCAAGAAATGGTTATCATGTCACTGTTCTACTGAATGTCCAAGAGGAAGAGCACAAGCCGATGATACTATATTGTCACCTCCGCCTATCCAGGGATAGGATTTGTCAGATCAGGAATAAGACCCACAATGTTCATAGTTGATGAACACGTATTGTACGGATAATTGTTCCACATGCATCATTTACATCATCTTCTGTACAATGCATAGATGCATTGGAAGCTTGTATATATTGAAATGCACTACGATGTATATTACATCAAATATTAGGGTTAGACCATGTAGCCTTATTTCTGGAATGTAGCAAGTGCTTCCAGATGCCAAATAGCTGTCAAGATCACCGTTATGGTTCTCTCAGTAGAGAATGTCATGGGCACCGCTGCTAGATAGACGACCTTGAGCCTGTCGTGTGGAATATGCGGTCGCGTCATTGTCCCCTTGGCCTTCAGTAACGCTCAGGATCTGAGAAAACAACCTCAACGTGTCCATACTGCTGAGTTCATTGTCGTTCCTGACCAGTGATGACGTCATACTGTGTGGTCCATAGGAACCCGATTCAATTGCTCCACGTGCACCCGCATTCTCCATGACGTGCTCGTAAAGACGTCTGCGCTGTTCGTTTGCCAGAAGATCTATTTCAATCTGCCGAGTGACAATGGCGGAGCTCTTCCTCCAGACGTTGAACTCGTAGTCAATAGGCACAACTCGTTCGGCGATCACCTTGATAATAACGAAAGCTTTGCCCTCTCTCAAAGTCAAATTGACTTTTTCATTGACGGCGTCGAAATTGTCTGTGTTTCCAGATCCTGACTTAGATCCGTCTGCGTGGACGAAGTCAAGGTCACCGTAGATCTCTTCGTTGTGGTGTTCCACGTCGATGTTCTGTCTGATGTCCTTGCTGTCGATGTTGGCGAGCTGAGACAGCAACAACGTGGACAGGTTCTGCTTCGGCACCTCCCGGGTACTTACTTGAGCTGGAAACAGAAAACAAACCGTGTTATGGCTGATGTTTGACGAATATTTTATCTTGGAAGGTCATTGTATAGGCTGGTGACATAAAGGGATGGGAGTCTCAGCACATCTCTTGAAAGCATGTTGCAAATAAAACATTGACAAAAGTAAGTATTGGAATAGATAAGTGACTTCAAGGATTGGGTAGAAGGGAAAGGGGTTGATGGACATGTGTCTGTGAATCGGTGTTTGTCATACTTCGAGATTATTCGTAAACTTTTACCGTAAAATAGCGTAACGCTGTGCTACGTTGCCGAAGGCTTAATCAACAAGTATTGTGCCAGTTTGATGATCTTTTTTTAATACAGAGCACACGATACATGTTTCATGTATTCATTTTACTGAAACCAAGGTTTCGGTAGTTTGATTTAAATTGAGAGCAAAACGTTCAATAATGTTTTTACACATTTCAGAGATTTTAATTTATGAGCACGATGACACGCAATCAACCACGTGCACATCACCGAACCTGAGTATTAATATATTAAATCGCCTCTTATGACAAGCAAAAGAGTGCGTGGGATCTATTCTAACCGGATATCGCCACCCAGTGGAGGGAGTTTCTATAAAACCTTTTATCAAAAACTACATATTTTGATGTGAGGTGAGGTGAGGTGAATTTGGCGTTCAAGATTATTGCACTCCTAAAGCGACGTGCATGCAGGAGTGTGAACTTGTACTAGTCCGGTCTGATGCCGATTTTACCAGACATATTAAACTGCCTCCGAGTCGACAAGTTCTTGTTTTAGCCCCCCAATGCCGAGCGCCAGGCATAGTAACAAAAAGAACCAGATTTTAACGTCTTTTAACGCCGGGTATCGAACCAACGACCATCCCCTCTCACGGCAGACGCTCTACCATTACATCACGGAGGCGGTCTATTTTGATGTAAAGATGTGAAGGCAACAAATAAGATGCTTCAGGAAAAATATATGAAAATATGTTCTACATGCACTTGATTGATGGAAACAAAATTCACTTCACTTTACACCAATGTAGATTTGTGAACTCGCTACCACATGTTCTCACCCTGGCTATCACATGACGATACCATCAATTATGGACACTTTCATGAAATGTCATGCACTAATACCATATGATTATTGTCGAACACTTCCGGTAAATATGTATTTAGGTTGAGAATATTCCACTTAAACATGACTGTTGCATATAGAACAAAGACAAGATATACTGCATCTGCCATTAGGCTGTCAGGGGTACTTTTGGGTTTCACCTTGACACCATCTCTCCTATCAAGACAACCACTGAGCCGACCTGCTTATTGTTCAGTTTGTTTGATTGTTTGTTGTTTAACGCCGCACTCAGCAATATTCCAGCTATATGACGGCGGTCTGTAAATAATCTGGACCAGACAATCCAGTTATTGACGTCATGAGCATCAATCCACGCAATTGGGATACGATGACATGCATCAACCAAGTCAGCGAGACAGACGACCAGATCCCGTTAGTCGCCTCTTACGACAAGCATAGTCGCTTTTTACAGCAAGCATGGGTTGCTGAAGACCAATTCTATCCCGGATCTTCACAGGTCGCCTATTGTTCAGTATTGCATGGGATACATTTACAATGCATTACTTGTATGAACATTTATCCTGGTTACCCATCCCATCATGACTTGCGCCAACTCTCTCCGGCTGTCTTCATACTGGTTATAGATACCCGTTAAAAATGTATTATAAATTCCTCAAATCATATACGATGTATTTTAAAGAGCTAATCAACTTAGTTCACTAAAGGGAGAAAAATAACCTTACGTTATTTATCGTTCCCTAAAGTCACTTTACAAATTGTTTACGTGTAATATCATTTATTTTATCATGGTCAAGCATTGCAGGCTTACAGTCAAGTTGTGTATACTAAATCCATCATACTTTAAGGCGTCCCTGACTATATTGGCATGTTCGACAACAAACAATATCGCAGGTTTCAATCACGAGAGATGTTGTTGCTTTATTTTATGTCCACTGTAATTCAGTGTTAATAAACATAACATTATCACCGAATCAAGTCTTTGAACGGCATTAATAAATGATAAACATAAGGAAGAGAATTTATGGATGTTAACTTCTATATTATGAGGAACACGACGTTTCGGAGTATATGCTTACTCTTTCATCACCTGTGTTTCTCATTTTAAAGAAGCTGACATCCATAATAAATTCTCTTCCTTATTATCATTAAAGTGCAGAAGGAAACAGAATAACTGAAAAACAGCTGTACGCACAAGCCTCGTTTAGACATTGCTCTGGAGATTGAATATACGACACTATGACTCATTCAACGTTTTGTTTGACCTTACACGACACTAAAAGGACTCCATGATTTATAGTTTGGTTTGACAAAAGCCAAACCCTATGTGTGTATTGGTGTGTATTGGTGTGTATTGGTGTATATTGCTGTCTCCCTCCCTGTCCTGTATTGCTGCTCTGTTGTATGTAATGACCTTCACTGGTCAGAAAGGAACTCTGACATTTCCATCCCACCTTCTGAAGCAAAACAGGATGTCCCGAACATAAGCGGAGGGGTTATTCTAAACAGAGTTTTCAAAAGCTTGCAGATGACCTCGTCGATCCTGATACATTCACAATTATCTTCATCCACGCCCCGTGTCAATTGCCTTTGTCAGCCTATCGCAAATATCACAGGTCACTGTTACAATATACATAGATCCTCACACAGTGCATACCTCAAATTATAGCCAATCTATTCAGTCGGGGACGTCCTGCCAATTGTTCATAAAAGCAACAATGTTGTTTAACACCTAGTTTGACAAGTGGGCAAATGGCGCCTGTTGCCATGGTACGTTTCAAGGGCTTGGTCACGAGATAACGCAATGGCCGGAGTAAGGGCATTACGGGTGTGAGCTGAACCTGGCACTGAGTAGCCTGGAGGTACCTTTAGTATTAAAGATCTTGACGGGTAGTTTCCGTCTCAAATTACAACTGGCCATGACCTTGGACCTTTCCATGACCTTATCACATTATCAAAAGTACTTGAAGACCAGCTGACCTTACCGAACGAAGTCATCTTCGTGGTATTATATAAACGCTTGTTTATCAACCATGATTACAATGCCATATAATGCTTATTCACCAAATGTATCATTAAACACCCATCATATTCGGCTAATGATTAGATAACTATACGCCTTAATGAAAGTGAAGACATGTGAACGTAACACACATGTCTGTATCACTGTTATTCTACAAACTGCCGATGCTAATAAATGAAAGCGACAAAACCCTTTCCATATTCATAAGAAATCTCTGCCAAAAGCGTCGATTGTACGATTCCGACCCCATAATGAGCATGTGTTTACGAATCACTAGCAAACAGTATAGTAGTGATACCAGATGTTCGCGAAAAGGTCCTGCCCCACCGGTGCACCCGCAACATATCATCACTCATTTATTCCAGTACCGGGGAGCTAGAAGCCTACTGCACATGATACATACATTTGTTTATCAGCAGTAACCGTCACAGTAACATATCTGCATTGTTTAGTGAGTATGGTTTTACCCCGCTTTTAGCAATAGTCCAGCAATATCACGGCGGGGGACGCCAGAAATGGGCTTCACACATTGTACTCGTGTGGGAAATCGAACCCAGGTCTTCGGCGTGATGAGCGAACGCTTTATCCAATAGACTACCCCACCGCCCCTCTGCGTTGTTTAACAAAGACCCAGATTTAAAGATATTTGATAAACATAATACTATTCCTGTCAGTATTTATCTTTCAGCGCTGAACAGACTGGACACCCGAGAAGAAAATGGGTCTCGTTTTTAATAAAATATTTCGGTCGCACGGCTGACAAATTGGACGAGAACCTTATGTTTAAGTACCCAACCATCACCATGCCCATTCGGTCAACAACACTCGAATATCATATTGCTCTAAGCATTTCCTGCTTACAATGAGGACGCATTTTGTCAAATAATAGCATTCCTACCAGTACAGCGATGCAGGGTATATATGTATTATTTATATGAATCTTAGCATGAATCGTATCTCCCTAGCATATCCTGATGCAACATTGAAGTGCAAAGGTCAAGGATATTATGGACAATAAGCCGACAAACACGACTGTGAAAACACGTTCATGCTTCGTTGCACCTGTAATGAAGTCTGCCGCCATTTGCTGCAACCCCGTGGCCCAGTGGGGAATTATTTCTATGGCGATGTCACTCTGTATTAAACCTATGCAGGTCAGAAGCGTAATCGAGGCATGTGAATGTGGTTTGTATAGAGTGACGCAGCCTACATTCTATATTAATCCTCATGGATATACGATGAATGCAATGACGCTGCATAAAACGTTAAACTGAACCTTTTGTAATACTAAAAACTATACTTTTCAAATTTATCGCATAACACTCTGCTTGCCAGAAAACATCTAAACATTCCTGATTCCATTAACATTGAAAACATGTTCACACTCAACGGTGTCATACAATGCGACGTCATACAATGCGGCAACACATTTGTGTTAAGTTATATCATCTATGGAAAGTTACCTGGGTTGTTTGAACGAGGACAATATTTCACATCGCTTGAAATTCATTATGTCAACTTGTTTTCACCACAATACGTTTTTAGATATGAAACTGCTTTTACGATCTCAGTTCTACATCTTGATGTGGTTATATCTAATTGACGCATGGTAACCTCAGCCACATTCCAGCTATATGGCGGAGGCCTGTAAAAACGTCTGGATCAGACAATCCAGTGCTTCATATTACGAACACAGATATACGCCGTCAGGGTACGATGACACGAATCATCCAAATCACCGTGTCCGACCACTCGATCCATTACACCGACATGCACGGACTGGTTAACGGGGTGTTTACCGTGTCAAGTTTCGGGCATAAAGTTTAACTCAAATAATCAACTCGATTTATCGTCCAAGACGCATTAACATTAGGGCGACATATCACCA